AGGAGGAGGAGGAGGAAGATTTGATCCAGCTGTTCGTCAAGCTCCCTCTGGGAAACACAGTCTGCCTCTCCGGTTTTCACTCGCAGTCCTCCATCGCTCAGCTGAAGAGAGGTAGAGAACCCTTCGCAACTCCAACTCCACCTCCTCCTCCTCCTCTTCCCGCCCCCCCCCTCTTTCTTGCCTCCTCCTCCTCCTCCTTTCTTCTTCCTCCTCTTCTTCTTCCTCCTCTTCCTCCTTTCTTCTTCTTTCTCCTCTTCCTCCTCCTCCTCCTCCTCCTCTTCCTCCTCAAGTGATTCGCAGCTTTGCGCGATCTCGAGCATCAGACAGGAGGAGCACAGGCAAGGCAGAGCATGAAGAGGAGGAGCAAAAAGAATGTATGAAGAAACGATGAGAAGTGGTCTCACATATGACGAATTGAGTAGGACAGCCAGACTCCTTCCTCCTCCTCCTCCTCCTCCTCCTCCTCCAACTTAGCAGAAATGCGACTTTGCTATGGAGGAAGAGACCTGGTGGATGAAGGAAGAAGCATCGAGTCCTACGATATTCGCACAGGCGCGACCATCTTCGCGTTGCTCCGCTTGCTGGGGGGGCAGGTGACGATGTTTCTTCCCTCCCCTACTCACTCTCCCTTCCTTCCTTGCCCCCTCCCTCTCTCCCTCCCGTCACTCACCTACTCCCTCACTTGCTTCCTTTCTCACTCACTTTCACTCATCACTTCCTTCATTTCCCCCTTCTTGCTTTTCGGGCCTCATCATCATCATTATCACCACCACCATCATCTCCTCCTCCTCCTCCTCCTCCTCCTCCTCCTCCTCCTCCTCCTCCTCCTCCTCAATCTTCTTTTTCTTATTCATCGTCGTCGTCGACGACTTGTTTTCTCCCACCTCCTCCGCTGCCTCGTCCCCCTCCCGCTACCCGCATTTCGACTTCTTCCTGCTCCAGCATCTCAATGCGAGGCGCAGGTTGTCGGAACCTCTGCAGGAGGAGCAGGGGAGAACCTCTGGCGGATGAGAAAGACGTCACTGACAACTACGTGGAGGACGTGGACGCAGGTGAGAGGAGGGAGGAACCTGTCCTCTATCATATCTCCCCTGCTCTCCCTGCTTTCTCCCTCCTTCCTTCTGCCTCCCTCCCTCTTTCTTTCCTCCTCCCTCCCTTCATGCACTCTTCCTGCCTCCCTGCCTCTCTCTTCTCCTCCTCTTCCTCCTTCATTCTTCCTCCTGCATCCCTGCCTCTCCCCTCCTCTCCTCACGCCCTCTGCTCTCTATCCCAGGTCCCTTCCTCGATGGCCGTCCTGTAGATCCCATGAAGGACTACTCGCGCCGCTCCCACGTGCAGACCAAGTTTCACAGCAGGGACCGCATCACCCGTCCAGCTCATCGCCCGCTGGCCTTCAAGCGCCTGGTAACAGGAGGGAACTTGATCCGAAAAGTCCTCGAGGGAAGAGGGCTGTACATGTGCTGCTGGAAGCACGTCCCAGGAGCCAAGTATGCTTCCGCCCCGTCCCCTCTTCTCCCTCTCTCCCCTCCTCCTCTTCCCTCTTCCCTCTTCCTCTCAGCTCCTTCGTGTCTCCTTCCTCTTCCCTCCTCCTCCTCTCCTTCCTACCCTCCTCCACTTCCTACCCGCAGACCTCTCAACTCATCTCCTCCTCCTTCACCTCCTCCCGTCCTCCCCCTCCTCTTCACCATCAACCTCGCAGGTACTGTCAGGACTTCTGCTTCACCAACGCCTCCTCTTGGGGCTGGTCGTCTCGCCGCCATCGCCTTGTCACCATCGGCCCAGACCTCGAGAGGGACCCGGAGGTTGGCAACTGGCCTGATATGGACTCACCTTTCGTCGACGCCTGCGCCAACAGCAACGGGAGGTGCGAGTTTGCTACTGGACAGCAGTACTGGAGAAAGGTCCTCCTCCTGTCTCCTCCTCCACCCCACCCCAATCCCGCCTTTCCTTCTCTTTTCCTTCCTTCCCCCCATACCACCCCGCTCGTGCCTTGCCCCACGTCCTCTCGCTCAAACTTCAGTCTCCTTCGCCACTCCTCTTCATTTCTCGCCTCCTCCTTCTGCGTCCTGGCCCTCACGTTCCCCTCCAGTACCCCCGACAGAAACGAGCCCTGGAGAACGAGGAAGCGGCCAAGCTCTGCGCCTTTGACACGGACTTATACTACCCTCGTCAGGTGAACCTCTCTAGACTACCTCTCCTCCTCTGCTCCACACTATCGCTCCTCCTCTCTACACTACCTCTCCTCCCCACATGAATTTTCTTCATCTTTCTTCACTGTCTGTTTTGCTCTTCTCCTGACTCATGCTGTCGTTTGAATTCATGCTTCTTCAGGAGCGGCTCGGAGAGGCAGAGAGTCCTGGCGTGGGTCCGCTACACTTCTACCAGATCAGACGCTCTATGAGATGAGTAGGAGCGGGAGCGGGAGCGTGAGCAGGAGAAAACGTCATATTAGAATGAGAAGGAAAAGGTTGACCATGATAGCTAGACAAAAGAAGAACGGAAAGAGGAGAAGGAGCAGGAGAACGAGGAGGAGGATGGGAGGAAGGCGGGATGGGATGGGTAGCAGTGATCGCCACGGGCTCTAGTAAACGAAGGTCCACATTCGAAGATACTCAGCCACGTCATCGTAACCTTCGTACTGCAGGACGGTTAAATCCCTTCCTCCCCCTTTCCTCCTCCTCTTCCTCCTTCTTCCTCCTCTCCTCCTCCATCTTACAGTCGCATAGTCAAATGCCGTCCCTCCTTCATACAGCGGAAGCTTGTCCGGCCCAGCATCTTCCATCCCTGCACACGGAGCATGAGCGAGGGGAGGGATCAACAGCAAGTTGACGCAGGGAGAGGACGCTCACATGGAGGCAGCTCTGCGATGGCCTCGCGGGCTCCAGGGATGGCGTCGAGCTGGGGCATAGTCAGGTCAGGAACGGAGCGGGCAGGGGAGGGGTAGGAGCAGGAGCAGGAGCAGGAGGAGGAGCAGGTACATCGATCGGCATGGGAAAGTCTTTGATCTTGGCATCAGCTCCACATTGGATCAGCTTTTCCACTACGTCTAGATGCCCCTGCGCTGCTCAGCAGCTGTTCAGCACGAGGGCCACGAGTTCTCCTCCTCCCTACCGGCAGCCTGATGCAGAGGCGTGCGTCCTCCTGACTCCTGCAGGTTCACGTTCGCTCCTGCCTGAATCAGCAGCTCCACTACTTTAAGTTTCCCTTGGAATGCCGCCCTATGCAGCGCAGAGAACCCGGCAAAGTCCACCTGGTTCACGTTGGCTCCAGCCTGCTGTGGAGGTTAGCGGGAGCCATAGGGAGATGAACGTTGGGACGACAAGGATACAGTGCGGTGTAAAGGAAGGTAGGAGGGGCGAATGCAGAAGAGGGGGAGGGAGAGAACGGGTAAGGCGAAAAGGAGCAACTGGAGGGGGGCGGGGACTGCGGATAGGAGGAGTGAAGGGACGGGGAAGGTGGAAGGGAAGTGTTGTGGAAACTCTCAGCATTCCTGAAGGAGCTTCTTCACAGCTTCAGCATCCCCGTACTCGGCAGCGTCTCCTAGCTTCACGTCCAGCGGGACCTCCTGGAAGTTCTCGGGGCTGAGGTCAGGGGTGAGGTCATACCCAGCTTGTATCCATCGCTCAGCATTCGAGGGCTGATACAGCCCCTGGCTCCCTCCCCTGAGCCGTTCGCCTCTCCCCAGCCCCTTCCTCTCTCCTACATTTCCCTTCTCTGTCCAGGTCGAGACCTTCACTGCCCGAGAGGACACTGTCACTGTCTCCATGTGCCGACAAACGGAGACCGCAGACGGAACTGCTGTAGGAGCGGAAGGCAAGACGAGGAAGAGAAGGAGGATGGCAGCAAGCAAGCTTGCTCTAGCATGTCCACATAAAGACTTCGCCATGGTCAACAGCCCACTCCCTCGCATCCCCTCACGCTCTCCTGCCCTCCCGCCATACCCTCCTGCCTGCCATTGTTCAACAAATTTCAACCCTCATCCCCTCTCATTCACTGCCAGTCCAGCCCCTCGTCTGGCGCAGTTTCAATTACTTGAACTTGCCAACAGCTTGCCAAGTTGAACTCCACAAAAGGGTTGGCCCGCAGTTACATACTACTACTTTGCTCCGGTTTGCCTTTCCTTTTTCAGTCAATACAACTACTACTGTACAGGCTACTGCTCTTCAAAGTTTGCCTGATCCTTCAAGTTGTTCCCCTGCTTGTCGTGCATGACCGCCGTCGCTCGTGTGGTAGGATCTGAGTGTTTCCTAGTTGTGCGATGATGAGGCTCTTGACTGACTCAGTGAAGTTCCTCATTCCGGTTCCGGCACAAAAACAAGGATCTACGTGACTCTCGCAGTGAGACCTTCATGCTCCGGGCCTCTACTCCCGAGGCTTTCAAGTGTCGTGACCGTTCAGCTCAGTCTCGAGGGACTGAGGCTATCTTATCCTCAAGGTCAGCTCAGTGTTGATGTCTGCATGACTGTCATACCGTACAAGTCTATTCCTAGTCTATTACTCCCTTCTCGTTATTCTGTTACCATTCAAGTGTTTGAGGTCAAACCCCTGCGCCTCAATGCCGGCCCTCCTACCCGCGATGAGTCCCGACGACCCCCGCCCTCCTCATCCTGCAAGCCATTCATCCTGCTACACAGCAACTTCACGTCCGCACCTGATCACTTCCTCCCCTGCTTGTACCTGCTGCTCCCTCCCCCGCACTCCTTGCAGACCGATCGCTGCCGCCCGTGCTCGCATATGCTGCTGCCCCCGCACTTCTTGCAGACCGATCGCCGCCGCCCGTGCTCGCATATGCTGCTGCCCCCGCATCCCTTGCAGACCGATCGCTGCCGCCCGTGCTCGCATATGCTTCCTCCCCCGCACTCCTTGCATCCCGATCGGACCCGCCCGTGCTCGCATATGCTGCCGCCCCCGCATCCCTGGCAGACCGATCGCCGCCGCCCGTGCTCGCATATGCTCCCTCCCCCGCATCCCTGGCAGACCGATCGGACCCGCCCATGCTCGCATATGCTGCTGCCCCCGCATTGCTTGCATTGCGATCGGACCCGCCCGTGCTCGCATATGCTGCTGCCCCCACATTCCTTGCAGACCGATCGGACCCGCCCATGCTCGCATATGCTGCTGCCCCCGCATCCCTTGCATCTCGATCGGACCCGCCCATGCTCGCATATGCTGCTGCCCCCGCACTCCTTGCATCTCGATCGGACCCGCCCATGCTCGCATATGCTGCTGCCCCCGCATCCCTTGCAGCCCGATCGCCGCCGCCCGTGCTCGCATATGCTGCTGCCCCCGCATCCCTTGCATCCCGATCGGACCCGCCCGTGCTCGCATATGCTGCTGCCCCCGCAGTCTTTGCAGACCGATCGCTGCCGCCCGTGCTCGCATATGCTGCTGCCCCCGCATCCCTTGCAGACCGATCGGACCCGCCCGTGCTCGCATATGCTGCTGCCCCCGCACTCCTTGCATCTCGATCGCCGCCGCCCGTGCTCGCATATGCTGCTGCCCCCGCAGTCTTTGCAGACCGATCGCCGCCGCCCGTGCTCGCATATGCTGCTGCCCCCGCATCCCTTGCATCCCGATCGCTGCCGCCCGTGCTTGCATATGCTGCCGCCCCCGCAATCCTTGCAGCCCGATCGGACCCGCCCGTGCTCGCATATGCTTCCTCCCCCGCATCCCTTGCAGCCCGATCGCTGCCGCCCGTGCTCGCATATGCTGCTGCCCCCGCAGTCCTTGCAGCCCGATCGGACCCGCCCGTGCTCGCATATGCTGCTGCCCCCGCATTGCTTGCATTGCGATCGCTGCCGCCCTTGCTCGCATAGCTTCCTTCGTATTCGTTTGGTCTCCCTCCCTCCTCCGTCTGTTTCGTCCGCTTGCCTCCCTTCTGTCTTCGTGTCTGATCCCTCCAGCCTCCTCCTTTTGCTCGACATCCTGGTCTATTTTAATCCACTTCATCCCCCTCATGCACCAGCTGTTTGCCCTCGTACCCGCTCGTACCCAAGGCCATTATTGAATGACATGATTGAATGATTCAACGTTGCCTCAGTTGTTGCCTCAGGTTTTCCCGCCTATTCCCCCAAGTTTGTGGCAAAAACCACAGCAACCTCGGAAATGCAGACTGACGAGAGAGGAGGGAGCTTAGAACAGGATCACCAACAAGTAGAGGAACAAGAAGAAGTAGAAGAAGAAATGCAAGATCAACAAGAAGGACAGGAACAAGAAGAAGTACAAGAAGAAGTACAAGAAATGCAATCAAGTACAAATCCGCAAGGAAAGAATGAGAATGAACTAGAAGCACATGAAAGTGACGAAGAAGAAGTACAAGATCAACAGGTACAAGAAGAAACTTCACTGGCTGAGTACAACAAGTCCCGGTACAAGCGCAGCAAGGAGCAGAGCAAGGACCGGTACAAGTGCAGCAAGGAGCAGAGCAAGGACCGGTACAAGTGCAGTACTGGCAAGGAGAGCATGAGGAGGATCAAGGGAGCAGCGATGTCTTTGTGTCCATACTATGCACGTGACTACGGCCGGGCTCTCGCCATGTCTTCAAGTCGACTGTGCTCTCTCACTTCCCGGAAGCAACGCCTGGCTGCAGGCGCGGGCGACTGTTTCTCTCCGTCAGGAGTGCTCGTCACCTGGCTGAGCCTGAGCCTGAGCGGGTTCTCCTCCCACGAGAGCATCGACCAGCTCAACCGTCTCACAGGCCTCGTACCGTCCGAATTGATCAAGGCCCGGGGAAAAGTCCGCTTCAAAGCCATCGCCAAGTCAGAGCACAAGGCTGGGGATCCCTATCAGGCAGACCTCTGCCTCTCTTTCGACAAGGATCTTTACCTCAGTCATATGTTCCAAAACCTCAGAGGATGATCGGATGTTCAATCGATGTGGCCGCTCCATCACAGCAACGAGTCTTTCAAGAACGTGTTTGTCAAGAGCGGAGATTACATCTGCTTCGAGATCACTGAATCGACAAGCAAAATCCCGGAAAAGATCTACCAGCTTTCTCGACTATACGTGGTACTGAAGGACTCAGGCTTCATCGGGAAATCCTCTCGGATCGCTGCTATGGGCATCATAGTCGACAGTGACAGAGAAGAGTTTCCAATAGCTGCGGAAAAAGCCAGAAATTTCCTCAAGGGAGTGGCAAACACTCCTGACCTAGCAAAGAATATGATCAACTCAAGCATACCGACTTTCCTTTTGCACGTTCCGATGCCTAACATCTACAGCTCGATAGAAAGACTCAAGGAGGGTCAATCTCAGAACCATCAGATCCTTGAAACGCAAGAACAGATGGCTTGCCAAAGCAAATAGAAGAGCTTGCAAATGGTGAAGATGAGATGAAGATTGAAATGAAAAAGCAAATGGCAGAGCTTGCAAATGGTCAAGAACAGATGAAGATTGATCAAGAACAGATGAAGATTGAAATGAAAAAGCAAATGGCAGAGCTTGCAAATGGTCAAGATCAGCAGATGCAAGAGCTGAAGCTCTGCATACAAGGGCTTGTAAATGGACAAGGGCAGTTTAAGAAGCAGGTAGAGCAGTCAAGACTTTGCGTAAAGAGGCTGATCGAGAGTCCCCAGGTCTTGGAGTTTCTACACGGCAAATCATTTTCAGACTCGTCAAACACCGGCGGACCTCAAGACACAGTCGTTGGCACTGAGGCGGCGCCTGCCCTTATCTCGATCATCCGATAGCACATGGTCAGGCCGCTTGTGGCACTGCCAGTCCGCTCCTGACACATCATGTGGTCCAGGCACTAACGACTCTCAGTGATATGGAGCAGCCTCTCAAGGTTGAGTGATAAGTTAGCCCTGAGCCTGATTTTCACTCCGTTTCTAACGAGCTGCAGAACTACAGCTGTGCATGTTTCAGCTCCGAGAAGTTTCTTGTATTCTCCAAGTGTGTGAGTCGTACATTATCATCTCACGGTAGTCAAATAGTCAAATTCAGTACTAGCCCCGTCCTGAGTCACGGTAAATGTGTGAACCCCGTCGACAGATTGCAGCTTGTCGTCCAGGCAACCATCTATTAATTTCACAGAACCGTGAATACAAAGTGACATATTTCTTAAGCCAAGAGAGCTCTTGTTCTTGGCAAATCGCCTAGTAGTAGTTTGGCAAGGCCCCGGTTTACAGTGCATCATCTAGCCCCGGGCCCAGTAACACATGTGTATTTCAATGATCTGAGACTTGAACAGCCGCCGGATGTGGTGGCATGTTGAAGCTGCCCCAATGCTGTCGTCGTGAAGCTCATCGAGATGTGCAGAAACGTTTGAGCAATCAAGCTATACTTATTCGGATGGACTTGAGAATTTCATCTCCCAATACTACTGATACAAACATTCAAGGTCTAGCTGACATGCAACGGAGAGGGAACGATGTCATCGTAATCATGATGCAGAAAATCCCTTCAAACTCTCAGTCGTATTCGGGCTAACCTTTCTGAGCGCCAGAGATCTTTGCTGGCACACCACTGCAGCTTCTCTACCCACTTCGAGTACCAGGCCACCCGGTTGATGACCTTCTGTCTAAGTTTACCCCTCAGCGCACGATTTGGCACTCAATCATGGAAAGTACAAACCTTGGGATCTTTGAGCAGCAGCTCATCAGCTTGGTGGCTGTCGCTGACACGTGTCTTCATGGATTGCCGGTTGACCTCCCGCCACACTGCGATGAATGCCACCCGGTGACCATCCGATCTTCTCCGCAGGCACCGCAGCTCGTTACGTACCAGGCGTTCCCAGCACCAGGCAGAACGTTTCCCAACATGGGTGATGGGATACCGGACTCGCTCGGAGCAGCAGCTCAGAGGAAGATCCGAGGGTATCGTAATGCATATGCTCACTGAGTCAGCACGTCCCGCCAAAGGCCTTTCTTCCCATCATCGCCAGCACTGATGGACTCTTGCAGGATGATGCGTTGCGCTTTCTGTGGTGGCTGGCGGATCGCTCGGCGAACAAGGAAACGGCAGCGCTGGATGGTCTCCAGCTCAAGGCCTCCCTGTCCTTCGCTGCCATCATCGCGGGTGCGTTCCGGTATGCGTCTCAAGCGTCCTTTGTTCGAAAGCCTTGTTGTATCCAGTCGCTCACTATGAGTGGCATGATGGGGGGGTCACGGTTTGCTCTTCATGCCATCTCCTTTCTGACTCACAGTGACGACATCTGAACTTATATCGGGGAGCTCAGCACAAAGGAAGTTATCTATCGCCCTTTCAACTTTGCAAATGGTGACAAAGCACTTGGCAGTAAGACTTTTGCCATTGGATTCTGCAGCAGACTCATGCTCTTCAAGAATGCTTCGGATGAAATCACGTCTATCCTCCAATGGCATTGACTTCAAGTTTTCGCACATTGTATGTGCGAGGCCCCCGAGAGCCAATGCTGTTTGATATTGATGTTCTGGTCTTGGCTAACATGTACAGGCAGGCTTACATACCTGCATGGTGGCATGTCAGTACTCTGGTGCCGCATTCCACCTCGCTGGTTACCTTCACAGATAATCTTGTATTTGCTTTTGTAGCTCATCAACAGCGTCATGGTGTGAACTTTGTTGCCCAAAGTCGGGGTTTCTTACACAATGACTTTTGCTTTTGCCGATGATTCTTTGCTTGACTTCGAAGCGTATGCGCGTCTATGTGCAGCTGGAATTCATCATGATGCATTTCATCATGATGCATCTGCTCCTTGTGAAAGGAGGTGAAGTAAAGAAGCCTTGAAACAATTCTTGAAGCCCTCTGCATTCTGTCCAAAGAGGTTACCTAGAAGAGTCAACTTTGCTCGTACATGCGAAATGTTGATGGAATGCTGGCTCAGCTTGAGATAACTAGCCGCTACTTGTAGCAAGCAATGATCATCCGCGTCCTCTATCTCCAACGTTGCGTGCCCGATGTTTTGCAGAAAATGTAACAGTTTCAGCACCAATGCGTCAGTGAACACTGCATAATCCTGTACAGTTGTCAAGTCGATGTCTTTGAAAGCCCGTCGACAACGTGAACAAGCTTTGATGCAGTGTTGAGGGATCGTCCGAATGTTGTTCGTACTGTACCTCGTCTTTACGGCATTCCTCTCTGCCTGCTGTCGTCTTGCTCATGGTGGGGTTGCAGAGCAGATTGCTCGTCAGCATTCGGATTTGAATTTTTCCCCATGGCACGTCATAGATCTTGCATCAGTTGCCTATACCTCCTGCATGACCACGCCCAAGATGTGCATCGCGGTCGATGGGAGGGGTACTTAACTAAAATTACTACGAGGCCCGGTGTGGGCCAGAGTCGGAGCCTGGAAGTGGCCGCGGGCGGGCCGCGCCGGCGGCCGCCGGGCGCCGGGGATCGGACTCGGAGCCCGAGTCACGAGTCGGATCTCATCGCCGGCCGGAACTGAGAGTCCGGCGAATGATCATGGCATACAGTTCAGTGGTTACTTCCGACCGTTTCCTCAAAGTTGAGTTAAAATACCCGGCGTGACAGTCATCCCAGTCCAGGACCTCTTGTGACTCCGAGTCGCTCGTATCAGTCTTCCATCCGATGGCAACTCAGGGGCAACTCACAGAGGCAGTGACGGACCGTACTTGAGACATTCTTACATGCGGCTGATCATCGGATACTATGACCGAAGTCTGATTGTAAATGTTCAGAGAAACCAAATGCATGTCTGAGCGGCAAGCCGCCTGAGCACGGCGCCGGTGGAGGACCTTGTACCCTGGCCGCAGTGCGGTCGGCGATTCCAGCCTGGGATCAAGCACGATTCCCGGTGACGGTGACCAAGATTCTCATCCGCCCTCAACTTGCCAACCCGGTGATCGGCCGCGCCCCGGCCTACCCGGCACTGTACTAGTCGGACTGACCGTACGGCAACCGTGTCCGTCCGATCAGAACTCTGAACGGCCCTTCGGAAGGCAAGTGCTGGCACGGCCTGAGCTGAACAGTCCGACGGTCCACCGTCAGTGGGACGCCGGTGTCCGGCCGCCCGGCCACCGCCGGGCCGCGCCCGGCCAGTGATCACCGTGCCGCCCACATTTATATATTACATAAAGAACCAATCATTGTATAGACAGCATCCAAATGAGAATCAATCGACATTGATAGAATCAGAACGTTTCAGGGATTTCAGTGAACAAGTTCCCGGCGCAATTGCAGTCCGATCACGGCGATGAGTCAACGGCAGTACCGGACACACGTAGTACCGTAGTACTGTTTTTATGCCTCGTTGAGCCAGCCTCGAGCTTGTAGCCTTTTGGGATCTTTCAGTGGACACGAGTCACGCTGAGTGAGATTGGCACGGACCTGAGGACTACTTGACTCCGTGACCTGACGACCATCCAGCTCCGGCGAAGGGTAATGCGTACCGGGCCGCAGCCTCTCTAATTATTAATCTTGCCAGTTGGGAATAATTACCATTCTTCAAAAAGGCGGATTGATGACGTCTAAAAATGTTTTAACGTGGCCTCAGATACCGAAGGGGGCGGGAGTATCTGAAAGGTAGGGTACAAACAGGCTCGGCAGACCGGGTAGCGCGAGTCCATCCGCATGAGCCAGGATGCGGGGCTGGGTGTAGTAAAAGTCATGTGGGGTGTAGTAATGTCCGAAGGAAGACGAGAAAAGCAGGTAGGGGTACTCTTAGCAGGGGTTAACCAGTAGTTGAATTACCCTGAATTTGGTGGGTAGGGTGTAAAATTCATCATGTCACAAGGTAGGGTAGGACCTGTATTTTATTACAACCCATCGCGTGGCGGAACATCCTACCTTGTGCTCACCTGCTCTACTCAATCAAAGGCACCTCCACCTCTCTGCGTCTGCATAGAAAACTTCTCCACCCCTTCAATCATGCAGCCTTCCAATCATTTCCAGGATCCCTTTGATGCTCTCGCATTGCCTTCGGGTCTTGATGAAGACCTTGCCCAGCTTCCCTCCGAACTCCTCCCTCAGCTCCCTCCCTCCCGCCGCTCCAAGGACTTCGACGCCCCCGTCTCTCCAACCAACACTCTCCCCGCTCCCTACTCATCGTCTTCAAGACAAGAGCTTCGAGACCATCAGCTCAGCCCGACCATGCAGAAGCAGCTCAGGGCCCTGGAGCACTGCATCAAGCTACTGACCTCCAAGGAGCGTCCGAGGATCAAGAACACTGCAGGGGTGTGGGTGACGATGTGAATGAGAATAAAGGTTGTGTAAGCCACATGGAAGTGTGTCCACTCATGCCAGCGAAGCATTTGTGAATACGAGCAAAGAGAAAGTTGCGGTCAAAGAAAGCCAATGTGTCTAGTAGATATTAATCGGCTCAGTTAGAAATAAAGAGACATGAAATCCTGGATTTTTCTTATGATGCTGATGAAGTTTAATCGCATTTCACAGCTTTCTACACTTTTTGGTACATAGTTTGGAACATCCGGCTACAAGAGTGAGGAGAGGAGTCTGTCTGAGAGCAAAATGCGGAGAATGAACAACTTGGAAGAGCTTGAGATCTCCAATCCATGCCTGCCACCTCTCAAGCTGATTCTCAAGGGGCTGATACCTGATAACTCACTGAAACTTTTCGTTGCGGATGAAAATAAAAGTCAAGAACAACGCCACTGTGTCGGTCACACCCTGAAGACCTTCGTCTGCTCGCTCTACGGTTTAACGGAAGGGTAGCCCGACAACTCGTTGTGATCATCGGTTGTGATATGGATGGGCAAACAGGTCCAACAACTTGAGCACTCAGCAGTGAGACGACCATCAGTCGTGTCCAGAAAATCGCCAACACCTTGATACGATCTTGTCTGTGTGCAATGTTCGAGAAAATTTCGCTAGTTTTCGTGATGGTTGGAACGATCACGATATAAACTGCTAGCGGGCAGCAGTGGTGCCCAACTCAGTGAAAGATTTCCACGATTTACTACTTTTTCTTTTTACTACTGTATACCCGGATATCGTGATCTGTATACCCGGATATCGTGATGATATCAATAGAACCTTCGAGATCGGCTGTAGTAAAGTCCCAGTTTTCCCCGACTGCGGGTCGGAGTTCTTGTTAGAGCTGTGGCACTTTGCATGCTCTAGTGGAGAACAAGATCAGAGAAGATTCGCAGCATCTATCACAGCCCATGCCTTGCCATCCATCTGACCTTCCTCCCCCTTCTCGTTCTCATCCCAGCCCTCTTATCAATGCAGTTCAATCTCCTCCATCCTTCTCTCACTCTCCTTTCGTTGATCTCGATCGCAAGGCTCATGGCTCCTGGAGAGCACCGGGGGGGCTGGGACCCAGCCGCGAGAAGCAGCTCGACGCTCTCAGACACTGCATCAAGATGTTGACTTGTGATGACGAGGAGAAACGCATGCAGTTTCAAACTCGGGCATTGTCAGTTGAGCCCAGTACAAACAAGTTCATCTGGAAACAAGGAGACGATTTTAATCGCCATGTTGTGAAACGGCCAAAGATGGTTCAAACAAAAGACAAGAAGACTGAGGTAATCAAATGAAACACGAAACCATGCGTACAGTAACAGCGTGCTGGTTCTTCTAAGAGAATTTCTTGGGAACTCTCGTCACGCGAGGTCAAGTGGTCTTGTTGGACCTACATACATGTTACACGTCTCAAGATTGAATGTCAGGCATCAGATGCTCGATCATGGGAGTTGATAACGTCCATTGTTGGACTTGTTTGTGATAATGTTCAATGTTCCACGTCGCTGGTCACGAATGTTGAAGTGAAAGACAGGATATGAAGTGAGGGTAATTGCACCTTCAAACATGGGAATAGCGCATGCATCTGTTGCAAGCTGTTTCAAGCACCTGCGGCAGCAGTGACAGTCACTCAACTTCTGACGTCAAGCTCTGTTTGTACAGCCAGAAAATGACGGATTTTTCAGACACACATTGTGGTTTTGACAGCTTATCTGGTTGAATCAGCTCCTGACAGAATGAGATGGGAGTTGTACTGAGTTGAATGCCAAGGTCCAAGGATTCCTGTTTGTGTTGAATGATAAAGCGGTATTGAGTGTACAAGAAACTATGCCACACACACTCTCTTGTTTGTCATGGTACATCGGACGAAGACAACAGGCTGATACCGTATCTCATACATGAAATGAGCGTTCAGAGGGAAAGAGCTTTATTTATGTCCTTGTAAGCAGCAGTAGCCTGCCCTGCTGGTTGCGTTCTCATAAACGCGACTGGTACTTGTTCTAGTGAGTTTTCTTGTTCTCAAAGGGTGTACATACCACTTGTCCAGTATCTCCCAAGTATTACCAGGCTCTGAGAGTCCTACAAACTCGAGCATCCCTCACCTGAGTTCCGATCTAGCTTCGACACAGACTGCCATGAAATCCTTGTCACTGGGTGACGCCCCTCGCTCGACCAGAACTCCTTCAAGGTTGCGCTCTCAGTCCAGACTCTGGGCCACAGACCATCATCAGTTATATCAGCAGCAACGGATCATCGGATTATGATTGAGATCAACTCCGAAGACTCTCTGTGACTCTACTCGTCTCAGATAAATGGAAAAGAATTTATCATGTCATCTCTTACGATGTGTACCATAATGCTTTAGTCATCTTCTTCAGTACCAGAAGACTTTTAGTCATCTCTCTGACTTCTTCAAGAAATTCGATGGTTTGAGCCCTCGTGACCGGCGGCCGCTGCCTGAGCTCTCCAGCGTGAGGAGGGGATGGGGTAGATAAGGGACGGGTGGTTATAACCCTTGAGGGGACAAGACGATAGGGGTGGGTATAAATCGAGCCTTTTGTCTCGTTCTTCGCCCGCCTGCTCTCGTCCTCCTCCATGCAGGCGGCCTCGAGCCCCTCCCAGGATACCTTCGATGCTCTCGCCCTCTCCAACACCGTCCCCGAAGACCTCGCTCAGCTTCCCTCCGACCTCCTCCCTCAGCTCCCTCCCTCCCGCCGCTCCAAGGACTTCGACGCCCCCGTCTCTCCAAGAAACCTCAACACCTCTGCCGCCTCCTCTTGCTCTTCCCCTAGCTCGACAAGAGACGTCAACCTTGTAGCTAAGAAGCTCAGCCCGACCAAGCAGAAGCAGCTCAGGGCCCTGGAGCACTGCATCAAGCTACTGACCTCCAAGGAGCGTCCGAGGATCAAGAACACTGCAGGGGTGTGGGTGACGATGTGAATGAGAATAAAGGTTGTGTAAGCCACGTGGAAGTGTGTCCACTCATGCTTCCTGTCTACCATGATTTTATAGCAACTTTTGCTTCCTGCTTTGATAGTTGTTGCTGAAAGGAATGAAGGGTTTGCAGCCCCTGTTGGTTTTCCTCCTCATGACAGGATGAACACCGCAAGGAATGTGTCGGATTTCATTGGTCATTTCGCCACGAGACTGCTGGCATGTTGATGTGTGCACATCCCTTTTCACCTTGTTGACGCACGCAACGCCACAATTCTTGTCAGCCTCATCAGGATTGCTTCAAGTTATGCAAGAGTCCCAGTCCACCGGGCCTGTAGACAATGAGTTGACTCGAGTCACGGAGTGACCATCTCTGCGGCACTGAACCTCAGTGAAGCCTTCAGCAACATCAGGATTGGAGCCCCGCAGTCCGACGCGTTCAAGGGCCTGAAGCACCGGCTGAGTCAACTCCGAGGCGGCTCGAGGCCCAAGGCTCGCCGTCCGGTCACGTACGCCGTAGTACCGGGTAACTTACGATCGGACACGGCGGCCGGCAGTACCGGCGTACTACCGTCCGCGCCCGATCCGGCGCACTGAGGACGCGCCGCGCCGCGGCCCGGGCCGGTGGCACAGTTGAATTCAGTGGATGCCGCAAGGGCACGCCGTTCGAAGTTACACGGTCTACGGTCACGGGCGCGCCTGGGCGCGCCGCGGGCGGTGCACTGCACTGCGCGCGGCGGGCCTCCGGCGGCGCCGCCAACCGAGCGTCGAGTTCAGTCCGCCTCCGAGAGTGTCAGTCCGACACGCCCCGGCTGGGGCCGGCCCCCGGCGCTACCGTCGGGCCGTGACCCGGGCCCGGCCGCGGTTTCAGTTCAAGCCTCATCGGGCCGCCCGGCCGGCCTCGGACGGTCGGACTCCCGAGTCCCGGAGTCCGCGGTCCGACGGCCGGGCCGAAGGTTCCGGCGCTTCAGCTCGCCTCAGAGCATTCCGTCTTCACGTGCGGGCGGTAATGGTTGGAGGGAAAGGCGTTGAGGGAGGGTGACGGCGATGCAGACGAGGGCGGAGGACAGTTGACGAGAAGAAGCGACAAGATGAAGAAGAAGGTAGATCCTCGCGTCAGAGGTTGGATGTTGCTTGCATGCTTGCTCCAGCATCTTTGACGCTCTGGTCGACAGCACTTATCGAGGCGTCGGTGGCCAACAACCATAGGAGCTTGTTCGTGCTGGTGGGAGACAAGGGAAGGCATCAGGTCTGTTCCACTCGACTCTTCATGTCAGTCAGAAGGGTTGACGATTGTATGCTCAGGTTGTCAACCTTCACTACATGCTCTCAAAGGCGACAGTGAAGGCTCGCCCGAGCGTACTGTGGTGTTATAAGAAGGAGTTGGGGTTCAGCTCACACAAGCAGAAGAGGATCAAGCAGCTGAAGAAGTATTCAGAAGAGGGTGTGTCCTTGTTCACTGAGTACTTGGCAGGATGGCTCATCGCTCGGGAACGGACCTGGAGAAGATGAAGGAGGATCCATTTGAGCTCTTCATCTCCTCTACCAAGATTCGCTACTGCTACTACTCTGAGACGCACAAGATTCTTGGCAACACCTTCGGGATGTGCGTCCTCCAAGACTTCGAGGCCCTCACTCCCAACTTGCTCGCGCGGACCATCGAGACGGTGGAGGGGGGTGGGGTAGTCGTGATCCTGCTCAAGACCATGTCGTCGCTGAAGCAGCTCTACGCCATGACCATGGACGTGCACTCTCGCTTTAGGACGGAAGCTCATAAGGATGTGGTGGCGAGGTTCAACGAGAGGTTCCTGCTTTCCCTTGGCAAGTGCCCTTCCGCGCTCGTGCTGGACGACGAGCTCAATGTCTTGCCAATCTCCAGCTCGTCTCGCAACATGCTCTCCGCCCCGCAGACCTCTGAAGACGCCGCAAAGTCTGCGCACGACGAGGAGCTGAAAGAGCTGTGCGACTCGCTGAAAGACACGCAGCCGATCGGGAACCTGGTTGCCCTCGCGCGCACGATCGATCAGGCCAAGTGCCTGCTGACCTTCATGGAGGCAGTTTCAGACAAGACGCTCCGATCCACGGTAGCGATGACGGCAGGACGAGGACGAGGAAAGTCAGCAGCATTGGGGATCTCTATAGCAGGAGCGATCGCGTACGGCTACAGCAATATCTTCGTTACCTCTCCCTCCCCCGAGAACCTCAATACCCTCTTTGAGTTCATCCTCAAGGCCTTCGATGCCCTGGAGTATAAGGAGCACCTGGACTACCAGGTAGTCCAGAGCTCCAACCCCTCCTTCAACAACTGCATCGTCAGGATCAACGTGTTCCACTCGCACCGGCAGACCATTCAGTACGTCCAGCCCCAGCACAGTCACTTCCTGAGCCAGGCGGAGCTGGTGGTGGTCGACGAAGCCGCGGCGATCCCTCTGCCTCTCGTGAAGAAGATGATGGGTCCATACCTCCTCTTCCTCTCCTCCACTATCAACGGGTACGAGGGCACCGGCCGCTCCCTCTCCCTCAAGCTCATCCAGCAGCTCCGCGAGTCGCAGGCGAGGGGAGCGAGCGTCGTTGAGGGCGACGACAGCGCTGGGGTCGTGCGGGCCCCCAAGAAGTCGCAGGGGGCAGAGGAGAGTAGCATGCAGGCCTCGGGAGGACGGCTCCTGCGCGAGCTGAAGCTGGAGGTACCGATCCGCTACTCGTCAGGGGATAAGGTAGAGCAGTGGCTGAACGAGCTGCTGTGCCTCGACTGCACCAACAAGGTGCCGGCGCTCAGGAACGGCTGCCCCCATCCCTCAGCCTGCGAGCTCTACTACGTCGAGAGGGACACTCTCTTCTCCTACCACAAGGTGGCGGAGGAGTTCCTGCAGAACATGATGTCCCTTTACGTCTCCTCCCACTACAAGAACTCGCCAAACGATCTCCAGCTGCTCTCCGACGCTCCTGCCCATCAGGTGACGCTGCTCCCTCCTGTTCCTGCTCCCTCCTCCTCCTCCACCATCTCCTCTCTCTTCTTCCACCGCCTCCCCTTCCGCAGTCAGCATTTCCTGCTCAATGCCGCTACCTTCACTCATCGCCCCTCTCCTGAGCACGGATGATGCAGTAAAGCCCTCCACAGCTTTCTTTCTCAGTTTTCTCCTCTGACTTGTCTTGAAGATTTTCGTGCTCCTCGGGCCGGTCGACGACTCAGGGACTTCAACTCCCGACATCCTCTGCGTCCTCCAGGTCTGCCTGGAAGGTCAGATCTCAAAGGAGTCGGTCATGTCCCAGCTGTCGCGCGGTGTCAGACAGGTGAGAACCGTTGTCATCCGTGTCAAACTCTGTGGGAAACTTGTCCATCCGTCTGTGTCCCCCACTTACTCCTCCTCTTGCTCTTCTTCAACTTCCTCTTCCTCTTTCTTCCTCTTCCTACTTTTGCACCTTCTCACTGTCGTGCAGGCGGGCGACCTCATTCCCTGGACCATCTCCCAGCAGTTTCAAGACGCGGAGTTTGCGGGCCTGTCGGGGGCGCGAGTGGTCAGGATAGCGACGCATCCGGAGGTCAGCAGGATGGGGTACGGGAGCAGAGCCGTCGAGCTGCTGTCCAAGTTCTACGCGGGCGAGCTGATCGGGGTGGAGGAGGTTGCAGCAGGGAAGGGAGGGAGGAAAGAGAAGGTGGAGGAGGCGGGGGGGTCGAGGCTGCTGGAGGAGAAGATCACAGAGAGAAAGGAGCTTCCTCCACTCCTGGTCCCCGTCGCTTCCATGCGCCCGGACCGCCTCGACTACCTCGGGGTCTCGTATGGCATCACGGGCGAGCTTTTCCGCTTCTGGAGAAGAGCGGTGATGAATGAGGAGGAGGAGCAGGAGAAGGAGGAGCAGGAGGAGCACGAGCACGAGCACGAGCAGGAGGAGCAGGAGGAGAGGAGGAGCAGGAGAGGGAGCAGGAGGGAATCGATGAGGGGAGGGGAGGAGGATTGTTGTTGTTGTGTGATGGCCCTTGCAGAATTTCCGCTGCGTGTACGTGAGGCAAACTGCGTCGGACTTGACAGGAGAGCACACATGCATCTGCTTGAAGGAGCTGAACAGCGAGGACGAGGAGAAGAGCTGGCTGCTGCAGTTCGAAGCTGACTTCCGGAAGAGGTGGGGCATGTGGAGGAGGTGGAGTTTGGGAGGAGGGAGAGGGAGTGAGATGGAGGGAGAGGAAGGAGCTTTTCCAAGGGAGAGGAAGGAAGAAGAAAGGAGGAGGAACAGGTGGAAGAGGAAGGGAAGGGAGGAAGATAGAAGAGTCGGGAGAGAGGGAATATGGTTGCTGGGCTTTTCTGTTAGAGACGCTGATAGATGGGCAGGTTCGAGCATCTTCTCGGCTTCGACTTCAACAAGTTCCCTCCCTCCCTTCCCCTCGCTGTCCTCGAGCCTTCCAACGTGAGCAGCGGCGGGTCGGACGGACGGACGGACGGAAGCAGCGAGGAAGAGGAGAGGAGGAGGAGGAAGGGAGTAACGGCAGAGGAACTGGGGAGGATCTTCACGGTCTACGACCTGAAGCGGCTGGACTCTTACGCCAACAACATTGTGGACCATCACATCGTCCTCGACCTCGTCCCCAGCATTGCCCAGCTCTTCTTTCTCGACCGCATCCCGGTCCCCCTCTCCTTCACGCAGGCCGCCATCCTGCTCGGCATCGGCCTGCAGCACAAGGCTGTGGACGACCTGGAGAAGGACATGAAGCTTGAGGCCCGTCAGATCCTCGCAAACTTCAACAAGCTCATCCTCCGCATCTCCAAATTCTTCCGCTCCCTCCGCGAGGAGGACGCGTCCAAGGACCTCGTCAAACGGCAGGAGGTGCAACCGCCTTTCCCGCTCCTGCTCCTGCTCCTGCTCCTGCTCCTGCTCCTGCTCCTGCTTCTGCTCCTGCTCCTGCTCCTGCTCTATAGTTCTCCAGTTCTCATGCTGCTGTTCGTGCTCCATGCGCGTTCTCGTGCTCATCCCCCACTTTCCCTCCCTTCCTCTTCTTCCTCCTTACGCTCCTTGCAGATAATATCTCAGCCCTTGCAAACTTCTCTAGAGGAGGAGCTGGACAAGGAGGGCAAGAAGGTTGCGGCAGCTCAGAGAAAGGCGGCAGAGGCGATGCTGGAGGAGATGGAGTACGCGGTGCCGGGGGAAGGTGCATGGGAGGCAGCGCTGTCGAAGCTGGGAGGAAAAACTCCTCCTGCTAGCATCTCTCTCCCCAAGAGAAAGGCGATGACCCCCGCTGCCAAGGAAGCGAGCAAGGACGAGCAAGAGAACGAAAAAGGTGAAAAGAGGGAGGGGAGGGAGGGAGGGAAGGAGGGAGGGAGGGAGGGAGGGAGGAAGG